CTCCTACTGCTGCTGATGGTAAAAGCGTTATACCTTCTACACATCAGCTTGTTAAAATTGTCATTAAGTTACTTTGCTGATTTTAGCATTTGGCTGTTAGTATCAGCTTCTACCAAGGCTGTAGATGCTCTGTCTTGTGCCGTGACAATGAGAATGTGTCCATCCAGCCCCAGCAGTCAGACCTGCTCCACCAAAGCTGAGGCTCACATATATTTCCAAGCACTTTCATTCCAGTTTTCAGTGGGCCTCATAACCCTCTGTAGGGCCCCAGTCTTTTTTTTTTTTTTTTTACACCGTACAAGTAGTTTCCTTCTTCTCATTCATAAGGATTTATGAGTAACCCATATAAATGCAGGTATCCCTGTAGCTTACTGAACCTATATTCTATATGCTTACAATGCCTTTAATAATGCAGGGGCACGCCGAGTCTGAGCATCTGAAATGGGCGTAAATGCACGAAGGAGTACGGTATATAAACTATAGAGGAATCTAATTTACAATAGGTAATTTATCAAGGCAGTGGGCGGCATGCTTGGACCCCAGGAGCCCTCAGCAGTAAATATACGCACAGTGGAGCTGATTTACACACATACCCACACAGGTGCAGAGAAGTGCAGACACATGCACATACAGACATATTCACAATAGACATGCATTAACTCCCACAAAAGCTATAGTTCCTTTATTGGAGCGCGTGGTAATGATTTAGGTGCTCTGCTGTCTGGCTGCGGGCAGCACATAAAGAACTATAATCAATAATCCATATCTATGTCATGAATGCGTCATCTACACACACACACACACAAACACACAAGCATGCCTTTGCGTGCTATGTACATACATGAATGTGTGACAAACTAATGCAGTACATACTCACATACAGTGCAGTTAAATGTGCTATAAGCTTCAGATGTTTCCACACACACACGCTCACATTCGTAGAGACGGGCATGCTGTACATCTAACTAAAACATAAACCAAAAGAAACGTGAACACTTTCATCTTTTACTTTGTTTCTATTGGCATAGAGTCTAATAGATTATTAAATTATAAAAGAATGAATGCCAGATCAAACCGTTTAAAGGAAGGGACATATTCTGATTTAAAAGCAAGGTACTAAACAAATTCAAATTAATGCAGTCCAATGCTTTACTAATTTGCTTTCCTAATTTGATTAATTGGACACCAACAGATAAAAAAAGTAAATTCATTTCCACACACACTGAGTGAACATTAACAACACTCCAGACTGGCATGACATTAAAAACTATAGTTAGAAACTAAAACCTGCTGGACTTATTTTAATGATTATTTGAATCAAGAATATTTCCATTTGCAGTTTTAATACATCTTGCTGAAAACACGTTTGACATCTGCATCTTTTAATGACAAATAAATGCTTCTACTGAGTGGCTGAACTAAACTTCTGAATGGCAGAATAATGATCCGTACCTGTTGCCATTTTCACATCAGACTGGAGGATGCTGATTGCCTAAAAATTGTTTGGAAATGTGCACATTTTTAAACAACAACTGGCTGCACTGAGTGAGTGATGCTTCTATTACTCCCAGAAGAAAAAAGCTGTTTAAGGCATCGATTGTATATAAAGGATGGATGTTGACTCTGGGTCGGTGGAATAAAGACGAGGCACAAATATCTTAAACCTGCATTCTCTCTAACGGCCAGCAGGGGGCGACTCCTCTGACTGCAGAAAGAAGTCACAATGTATAGAAATCTACAAGGAGATGACTGTGCACTTTGTTTGATTTATAACCGCAGTAAACATGTTTATGGTCTTAATTGTTAGTTTTAAGGTTCCTTCAATACATCATGAAGTTTATTTTGTAAATTCAAGGCCCCATTTAGAGTAAAATAGAGTTTTTCTGTGTGGTATTGCTTGTGTCCTCGAGTTCTTTGTCATATCCACCCTAAGCTCGTCACTTCCAGTTTCAAAAAACCAGGATGGTGAGGGTTAAAATTTGAGGTATCGGACCTTTTGTCTACAAACCAATGAGCGACATCACGGTGCTACATCTATCTTTTAAACACAGTCTATCATTTACAAATAAAAAGGCCACGACCGCAGCACTTCCCTCACCCAGCAATAATGATTTATATGTCATATATTACTTATATTGAATATGTTTATATTTTAAACAGCAAAAAATAAAGAACACTATCAACCAGGGACAGCAGCTTCCTCTCCTAGCCGGCCGCCCCCGTGTATATTTAATGAAACAGTAACTCAGTCGGAGCAGAAAATTTCATTTCTTTCCAGTATTATAAGTTCAAAGGTCCATCTCTTCGTCCTCCCCGACTCTCTTCCCTGAATAAATTCCAAAAAAGCACAAATGCCGTGAGTGATGATCTAATAATAAATCGCAAATGTGAATAGCTTCAGAGTGGAGAGTGAAGCCAGACAGAAACCTGGGAGGGCAGGAACAGGGAGGACGAGAAAAACAAGTAGAGGAGAGAACGAAGTCAGGAGGTCGAAAGAGGGAAACCAGAAGGAGGAGGATGTGTTTGTTTATTTGTTTGTTTGTTTGTGTCTATCTGGGACCTACACAGCACTCTGCTGCCGGTTCACTGTGATCACTGGAGAGGTTGTCTGTTGTCGGTCTGCCAAGGAAAACACACACACACACACACACACACACACACACACACACACACACACGCACACACACACACCCACACACACACACCCACACACACACACACTAGTTGCATTAGTTGTGAAAATTTTTCTTCTCCAAAAGTTGAACTTCTTCTCATCATAGACACAAACATGCCAGTAAGAACTACTGTGTCTGACATCGTTGCAGGGCTTTTGGAAATGAACCAGAACACATACATGAATGGACAAACAGTAAATTATCGGTTGACAGGAAGCAGAATGGGTGTGGGAAACCAGACCGGGCTCTCTTATCTGACCATCTGGGAAAGACAAGGGCACAGATAAACGGTGGTGTGTGTGATGTGTTCGTCATGAAGGACATGGATACAGTTAACATGATCAAAGCAATCGGGAGGATTGCATCTGTCTGAATGGAGCAGAGGAGAATGATAGAGAGTGACTTCGTTGAGAATCCCAAGTTTGCTCTGTCTTTTTTTTTTTTCTTTCCCTTTTGCTCTTCTGTTCTTCAGTCGTTGTCTTTGATGGGTTTTTCTATTTTTACTAGATCTGGTCGTTTACAGCAACATAACATGTCCCCTCAGGAGAAAATGTTTTAACTCTCTCTGACCTGGTGTCCAGCTAAAACTACACTTGTGATTAGTGATGCACGATATTGAAATTTCTGGCTGATACCGATATCTGATATTAAGATCTCTGATATCGCCGATAACCGATGTTACCGATGTCGATATTAAATTTTTGTTCACACCGAAAAATGAGTATAAGTAAGCACTGTGAGCCCATACCAATCTACACCATATAGTCTTCTTTATTATGTAAGAAAAGTAAAACATATTCAAACACATTTTAACATATTTAACATTTAAGTAAAAACGTCTGTGAAATAGCAGCAATATTAAATATAGAGACAAAGGCGCTAATGTTAGACAATCATCGGTTTTCCACATCAGTTAAATTGGTTCATTGAACCGATACCGATATATGGGAAAAAACATTAATATCGGCCGATACTGATGTGGTCGCTGATATATCGTGCATCCCTACTTGTGATCAATGAGTTTGTGTCTGCACTGTGTCATTAACCAAACCGGACATATAAGAAACTTGAGCCTTTAAGAAGTACAACCTAAAGTGACTCATCTGTGGATTATGTGAATAGTGTTAATTTAGCATTTTTTTTCTTTATCTACTCTCTAAACTCTTCGTTCTTGTCATTTATTGTAAAATATCTTCCTCTGTCTCTCATCAGATCTCCCAGATGATCTCGGAGGCTTCGCGAGACGAGCTGACTGAAGCTGCCCTGAACCGCTACAACACACACTCTCCTTCCCACACCAATCCATCGTCGCACACCAACTCTCCCTCTCACACTCCAGCTGTAACCACCACAGCACCATCCACCACCTCCGCCGCTGCCTCTTTCTTTGCCAGGTAAGACGCTTTCGCATCAAAACACCGCTGACAGATCATCCATCCACTTTACACGGTGAGGTGATTAATGACAGGAACATCGGCTGTTTTCGACCCCCTGTTTCATCTGATCTGTTCACTTAGTTCCAACAGACAGGCAACGTATCCTGATGTCTGGCCTTAATAGTTCAACAAGCGTAATCAGATGCATCTAAACCTGCTGATCTTGTCTTGTTAACTTTTTTTTTTGCAATTTTTTGTGTTTAAATTTGACTAAAATGAGAGGACTACCGACAAAACAATACTAAAGGTATCTGTAGCTGTTTCTAGTGAGTCGCAGGGAACCAGAAAATCTTGCAAAGCTAATCACAAAACTAGTGCTGAATTGTACTTAATCCCACAGGAATGACTCTTTCTGGATTTAGGATGTGTTAGGTAGAGAATTAGCATCAAACAGAAAGCCGTAACTTGAAGTCCTTCCCTGGTCATTGCTTTAACCCCTAAAAACTCATCTTTGTGTATCACAGTTACATGTTTAAATGTTGTTGTTTTTTTGCATGAAAATAACCATTCCCTGCCTTTAAATGGCTTTAATGCAACTCTACACCACTGCCTTCTCTGGAATGTGCAGATCTATACTGACATCTCTGTCTGTTTACCACTCGCTGCAGCTCAAGCAAACCAGCTCACCTATGACTCTGTTCAAACCAACTGCTGCACACTATACAATGGCAAGTTGTAGTACTCAAGCAATTCAGTCATACATGTTCGCACCAGAAACTGATTCTGAAAAAGAACCCTGGAAGTTGACAAGATGGGTTCCTCAGATGTGTCGTGTATGAAATTCTGTGTTTTTGAGACTGTCACTGGTGCACTACAGGTGGAAATGCTCAGCCACGGGGCTGACGGTTTGTTTCACTCATGATGTATCTTCCTGCATATAAAAAGCACAACGCGTTACACAAAGGTAAGGCTTGGCTTTCACTAGAGGGGATCTTTAAGTGGAACCGAGGATATGACAAACCCCTTATTAGCTCATTTGGGTAAGATTAATCATTGGGCTCTGCTCCTCCTGGGTTTAAAAGTCCACACATCCCCTTATTCAGACTGTTCTGCTCTGGTGTTTCTCAATTAGTCGAATCAAGCTGGTAGAACAAACAAAACAACCACTTTGCAGGCTGAAGGTGGTGGAAAAGGGGAATTCTATTGTGCGTTGTACATAAGCGCACTTACTTTTGTCTTAGCGTATAAATCGACTTTCCAGTCATCAGTCGTCGATGAGCTGTGCCATCTAATCTAGAGAAATGCAGAGCGGCACAATATAAATAAGACACGGGTGATATTGGTAAATTATTGATGAAAAAACATGGCAAGCTCAAAATGAAGGTGTAAATTATTAATGGGTAACACCAGACTATGAGTGTGTCACAGTGTCTGAGGCACTGCTGAGATGTCGTATCTAATGAGCTGCTTTAAATCACATTGTAAATGATACTGACGGTTGTTCTTCTCACTTTCACACCTTCTCGCTCGTCCTCTACTTCTCTAAATCTGCACACAATGAAGTACGGCGGTGGTGTGTGTGTGTGTGTGTGTGTGTGTGTGTTTGATATATACCTGTCATGCCTCAGTCCAGCAGACATAATGCTGCCTGTCTGTCAAACCTCCGGCAACCAGGCGCAACTCGTAAATTGTACGGGAACACACGCAAACACATGTGCGCGCACTCTGTTTCGAGCATTTCTTTCCGTGACCCCCTGAACTGCCGGGTATCAGGGCCATTTTGCACAAACACACACACATCTGGTTGACATTCCAAACATACAGCCAGCTGTCTTTGCTCGATTTATGAGCGCAAACCCTGTGAGTGAAAGAGCCCCGGTTTGTTTAACGGTGCAGGTGTCACTGTGTGTGTGTGTGTCTCGGCGTGTGTCCGGCTCTTAAGTGTCAGTTTCCAACGATAATTATACGGAAAGGCAGCTAGTGTGTCTGTTGTTTCTGCTGTTCGTGCGCACAGGTCGTCTGGATTTTCCTGCCATTTGTGTCTGCGCAGGATTTCAGCTTGTTCTTGGTGATGTGTACGTGTGTGTTTATGGTCAGAGGATGCAGCCATGCAGCGCTGCTAAATCCTATTCCTGCCTTGGTCTTTACTCTCAGACGTGCACTGCATGCAGACACTCTTATCACACACACACACACACACACACACACACACACACGCACACAAAATCTCCCTTTTGCTCGCAGTGTGCACACAGCAAAATCCCCGTGCACATCCCCTCTCACCTGATCCCCCTCATCCTTTCTTTCTCCTCATCCTCCTCTTTCTATCCCCTCTCTCATACCTCCCGCTTCATTCTCCTCTCCCGTCCTCGTTTAATTGCCTTCTCTTGTGCTCTCCTCTTTTCTCCCACGCATTCATAGCATGTTCTTTTATACCTCTCCTCCTCATTTTTCCAACAATTTCTCAGTTTCCACGCTGACCTTTCCTTTACCTCTTGCTAATGTGCATGTGAGTAATATCTTTCATTAGTACCAATCTGTCTGTGAATATGTCACGCTCGTACAGTAGCGCTACATCTTCCTTGTGCTGCAGTGGCCCTCTGGGGACGCTGGGCTGGAGGATAGAGACACGCCGTTGTGTGTGTGTGCACGCTCTTACTCACTGGGGGAAGGGAGTTCCTATCAGTGCAGGAATTTTTTTTTTTTACCGCATGCTCCGAGGATTGGATCTTTGGGGATTTGGCTGGCTGTGTGCGAGTACGTGTGTGTGTGTGTGTGTGTTGCTGGGGGTTGCTGAGTAAATGAATAGGTCCCGTGTGAATTGTTGAATTGGGAAGGCATTGTTATTTTGGATGGAGGATGGCAGTGACATCGGGGGGTGGCTGCCTCTTTTTTTTTTTTGCTCCTGCTGAGCTACTGTGCTGCTTCTTCTTTAAAAAGAAATTTCCATCAAATGATAATTGGTCACCAATTAGGCACCCACTATGATGGTGGGTTGATGATTTAATAGGTGGTCAGTGGCCAACAAATTACCTAATCGAGATATTTGTTATTTTATTTAGTCATGTGTCATTTAACAGTAATTGAAAAGTGCTTGTTTTTGATCTTGACCTATGAAGGAAGAGGCTCATTTGCTCCTCAAGTGGACTCAGTGTTTTCATCATCAGCATTTCTTTCCATTCCTTTGAGCAGTGGCAGCTTGCAAACATCAATTTCCCACCTTGCATTGTGAGTTTATGTCGAATTTAAAGCGGAAAGACATTTTACAAGGTGTAATGCTGCTGCTTTTCACTGCACATATCCTTCAGGCAAATGACCAGCTCGCTTATGTGCAGCATAAAAACCAGTATCGTGTATTTTCAGGAGTCAAAAGAACCTTGTGGCCATTATAACTCAGTGGATTACTGCTTAATAATTCTGGCTTGTGTGTGACTGTGCAGGTTTCCACCGTGGTGTCTTAATAGGCGGCGAGAAGTGTGTCAATTGCGCGCCGTGTGTACATGTCGATAGATAATGTCAGAAAAGCCACTCTTGTGTCCGTGCCAGTCTAACTGACCTCCCACACCACGCACAAACACACTCCGACACACACACCATCACTCTCTGCCTCTGCCTGTATCTCCCTCCGCTGACGCTCTGCTAAATAGAATGTAATTAGCTTCCGAACCAACAACACAGCCCAGGGACAGCAGCCATAAATCAGCTGTGTGTGTGTGTGTGTGTGTGTTTCAACTCAAAGTGTTTGTAGCTGTGTGAAAGGAAGAGGAAAACAAAGCCACGGCGCGTTACTAGCTGGGCAATTTCTGACCTGTGCTGCTTTTTAACAAGAGAAAGTCTCTGGAAGGGACAGAGGAGGAGAAAGAAGAGGCAGGGATGGCTGAGGAAATCAATACATGTGAGGTAGGCTGAATGGATGGTGGGACGGATGGGTGGCTGTACGGAGGGCAGAGAGGAAGGCAAAGGGGTGGAGGATAAAAAATAATGAGAGAGAAGAATAAAATAAAAGGGGAGACAATGAGGACGGGCGTCGAGCGAGAGGGGTGGAAATAATAGGAGGGAAGTGAAGGGGAGAGCAGAGTGGAGGAATGAAGGTAATGGAGGGGGTGAAAGGACAGAGGAAGAGCTGATGGATAGATAGATGGAGCTGATTGATGGAAAACAAGTACCCTTCACTTTAGGGTTAGATTGGAATGGATCCACTTATCCCAAATCCCTGGCCACTTGTCATTAAACGCTACCAGTTAGGTGGCTTGTGTGTGTGTGTTTGTGTGTGTTTGTGTGTGTGTGTGTGTGTGTGTTTGCGTTTCTACCACGCTTCAGTTGTGCCACAGATTAAACCAGTCAGGGTGAGTGAATATAATAAGAGGGTGTGATAGTGTCTATACACACGTATCAATACATGCATAGCTTGAATTATTATGAAACTGAGGCGGCTTATAGATTTGAAAGACGCATTCTAAAAACAATCACACAAAAAGCCGTATAAATGTGTTGCCCAATGAGCAGCTACTTCATCATTGAGCGAATATATGTACAGAAGAATGGAAAAAAAATGCTGAGCTGTGAGCAGTGGTGGGGAAAAAGTGTGCATGCTACAAGTAGGGATCTCCAGCAGCAGAGGAAGCATGCACGAATCTGTCATTGTCACGTCTCCTCCTGCACCCGTCAGCAGCACTGCAGCAGCCTCTTCTGTAAGATGTTCCATAGAAAGCAAGTGGTAGAGTTCAACTTCCTTTTCTGTATATATAAAAAAAAGTAACTCTTGTGCTACCTTAGAGTGAAAATAAATAACACCGTTATTGCTTTCATGTAAATTTCTGCACCTGGCCAACGGTTTTCTATAATCTGGAGCTTCTGAGCATTATATTGATACACTAAGAAAACTGGTAATTGCTTTTGATCGCATTTTCTGCAATACGTAAGCTTAGCTCGCACACAGTGAAAAACCAATTAGTCCTCTTGTGGACGCCCGTTTCATACAGTGTGCACTCACGCACACATCCACAGCCGCAAACACA